TTTCGAGGCGGACACACATGCCTTTTTTTACAGCCAAACATCAAGGAAGAAGCATTTACATGGATGAACCATCCATCATGCAAAGCAGCGTTGGCACCTCGAAAGAGTGGTTGACATTCCTAAACAGGGATCACCTCATTTGGATTTGAGGCGGACACACATGCCTTCCTTTGACAGCCAAACGTCAAGGAAAAAGCCTTTGCATGGATGAACCGAGGCGGACACACATGCCTTCCTTTGATAGCTAAATGTCAAGGAAGAAGCCTTTACATTGGATGAACCATCCACCATGCAAGGAAGCGTTGGTACCTCGGAAGGGAGGTTGACATTCCCAAACAAGGATCACCTCGCTTGGATTCCAAAGCGGACACACATGCCTTCCTTTTACAGCCAAACGTCAAGGAAGAAGCCTTTGTATAGATGAACCATCCACCATGAAAGGAAGCGTCGATACCTCGGACGAGAGGTTGACATTCCCAAACAAGGATCACCCGCTTGGATTCCGAGGTGGACACACATGCCTTCCTTTGATAGCCAAACGTCAAGGAAGATGCCTTTGCATGGATAAACCATTCACCATGCAGAGAAGCGTTGGCGTCTCAAAAGAGAGTTGACATAACCAAACAGGGATCACCACGCTTGGATTCCAATGCGAACACACGCCTTCCTTTGACACCCAAACGTCAAGGAAAAAGCCTTTGCATGACATTCCCAGGAAAGGGATCACCTAGCTTGGGCTCCAAGATGAGTCAAAATCCTCAAAACGAAGAGACAATTTTGGACCACAGTGTACATTAGAAATCCCTTCACTAAGGTTCAGATCATTCTAACTCAGGTCTACGCGGTTATGACTCAATGAGGGTCGACATTCGATTCAGTATATTAAAATCAAGGAAAGATTAAAAATCACAGATTTACCAAAATATGAAAGTTGAGATCAGCTCTACACGCTGTTAGGTTATTGCTAATACACACCAACTTGAAAACAAAACTGGAAGCAATAAAAAATGGAAAGTTATATTCAATAATTAAATCAGTACAATAGGAAGCTCGAAAGCTTTACAAATGATAAACCCTATGTAAACCTATACCTATTCCGGAGGCGTAGAAGAGGCTTGATCGCCAGTAGCAGGGGGAGGAGCCATTTCCTCCGCTGGAGCATCTTCCGAAATCACTTCGATACAGTTGTCATCAACGGAAGTTTGAGGTACTTCATCTTCAATAAACTCCCTCCTTAGCTTAGAAGCATCGAGGTCAGGGAATAGCTACTCAATCCTGCTAACGACCTCGTTGTAAGCATACTTCTCCAATATGAGCCAAGGTGTCGATACTCTTCAGTATTATGGAAATCGGCAATATAAGTCCTCATAGCAATTTCACCCGCCTCGAGACATCTAACTGGTACTTTCTGCATTCATTAGCATACCATTCCACCTGTTTCTCCGCACGGTCTCGAGCTCTTCTGCTGGTAGTCAGCTGAACGTTCACCTTTTCCAGAGCTTCAGCAGTAAGTTTCTGGTGAGCATCGGAAGTCTCTACCCGCTTCGTCAAAAGGGCGACTTCGCATTGAGACTCAAGGACTTCCTTCTTTATAACTTCGATCTCAGCTAGGGTAGAGGCTAACATTGCCTCGTCCTCAACTTTCTGAGCCCTCAACTCGTCAGCT